TCAGGCCAGATACATCTTCTAAAAGCTATCCTAGATGAATACATGCGTGGCGTGTGCACACCTGCAGCATGTAAGTCTGTGCTGAGTACATGGATAATGTTTGATATCTTTGAGTTCTTGTTTGGCTGCTGTGATTTCCTTCTGTGCTGGCCCTGTCCCAGCACAGAGTCCCATACAGCAGCCATGTTTACACCTGTGGGACATGCACCATGAAAATAACTGTGGGGTGCAAGCATGTAGGCATTTCTATTAGGTTCTTGTCAGTTTGTTGGCTATTACGTTATTTATCTGTTTGAGCAAAAGCAACTAGAAGTAGACTGTGTCTTCAGTGTGGGTGAACTCAGCTCTCTCAGCACAGGGGGGCTGCCTGCCATGCCTGAGAGCTGCCCTCAAGCTCCTCTCCGAGCTGCACTGCCTGCTGCTTCAGTAGATAGGGCACGTGGGGAGCTTTCTGCTGGAGAAAAATGCTGATGTAGTGAGAGCAGTGAGCCTTTCTGGGAGCATCCCTCTGCTGCTGTGTACAGCTGGGGGACGTGTTGGCTTTGTCTCCATGGGAAGGTCTTCCCCTGATAGTACTGGAAGGCTGCAGTGTCATCGAGGCTCGGTGGTTGCTTGAGTTCTGCTGTTTAGTGATAAAGCTCTTCTCTCTCCTTGGGTTGTATTAACCTTACGGTATACATTCACACTGCATGAAATAAAAGAAGTTGTATGAGAATGAGGGCACAGGTTTGTGCTGCCACTGGGATTTGAGTCCTTACAGATGCTAAATGAACGGTTCTAAGCAAGGTGTGTTTACACATACTAGATGAATTCCCCATTATTTTTCTTCTTATTTAAATGTTAACTGCAATTACAGTTAGTTAGTTAGAACACTCAGTGGGCATCCTGCTACTCCGTGGACATAAAAGCATGAATGGGAGAGCTAAATTCTGCTTTCGTGTGATCTTTCTAACAAATCAATCTTGCAATGAAATTCTGTGCTGGTTATAGTTCTCCTCCTCTCATTGTCTTTCCATTACATTGTATTATCAGTGTACTTTCCCTGCCAGACCTAGATGACAGGTCAGGCAGGACTGGTCCATCCCTGAAGGTGTTGAAGGCCAGGTTGGATGGAGCCCTGGGCAACCTGGTCTATTAAATATGAAGGTTGGCAGCCCTGCCTGCAGCAGGGGGTTGGAGCTTCATGATCCTTGAGGTCCCTTCCAACTCGGGCCATTCTGTGATTTTATGACAGTAACACAGCCCCAAGAAGGGAGAGGGGAATGGTGCAGGGTTGCTGCAGAGGGCAGTGGCCAAGGAAGTGCCACCTGCTCCCTCACATCTGGGTGATGCAACCTGGGGTCTGGCTCATCAATCTGGTCAAATGAAGAAGTCTAATTTCACTCCTGGGAATGATGGGCATGCAAATAATTAGTGCAGCATTTATTCAGGATGCTTTTTCAGAGCAGTGCTGACTGTGGGTCTCTGCTGTCCCACTTGTGTCACTGACGATCAGACCCTTGCAAAGGTGAAAACGTCATTAAAAAACTCTTTCCCTTTATACTTTCTTCTCATGGCTGTCCCCATGACAAGTCCACAATGTGTTCTCATTATGTCGCAAGGCCAGAGATCAGAGCCTGTATGGATAATAACAATACATCCTCTTTGTCAAGCAACAGCATCTGTCTTAGCAGAAACTGTGCTGCTGGAAAGTAACATTTTTTGCAAGCCACTTCCTGCACAGTCAATTAACCTTCCAAACCAGAGTCTCGTGTTGTTTGTTGGGCAGAAGTAGTCTTATAGGACTACAATTTAATTAACATGACTGAAGGGAGGTGGCTGGGGGAGTGAGGTGTTTGCACAGCCTTGTCTGACCAGCTTTGGGCACGTGAAGTTTAGCAGGAGTAAATGATTGTGTTTGGCACCTGCTCAGTGTCGTGCTTCAACTGCTGTTCTTCCAGACACGCTCCTAGGAATTAAAGTCATCATGCTGTGTTTTACAATGTTTTTGTTTTTGTTTTTTTTGTATTATTGATGGCCCCTTATAAAATTAAATTGCATCCCATTCATAGTAATGTAATTGAAAAGTTTCAGTCTATTAATGTTTTATTGCTGGAGGGGACAGTAGCGGGTTGTTTGAGCTACACAGTGCATCCCAAAGGGCATGAGAACTCGCTGAAAATATGGAAAATATAACTTTCAATGAATGTATTAAATTGTTACAGCTTGTTCCTGATAGTTCTTCACTCGTGCAGTAATATCATTTTCTTTTGCTCTGTGAGGAGGCAGCGGTGCCTCTTGTTTACAAGGGTGGATAGTGATAGGACAAGGGGGAATGGTTTTAAACTGAGACAGGGGTTGGATATTAGGAGGAAGTTTTTCAGCCAGAGGGTGGGGACCTGGGTTGCAAAGGACCATAAAGCTCACCCAGTTCCAACCCCCCGCTATGTGAAAACCAGCAGCCCAGGCTGCCCAGAGCCACATGCAGCCTGGCCTTGAATGCCTGCAGGGATGGGGCATCCACAGCCTCCTTGGGCAACCTGTTCCAGTGAACACCTCTGGCAAACTCAGTTGCACACTAACACCAAACCTCTCATGTTGAGGTCAATGGGAATTGTGCAGTTAAATGGGGGAAAAAAAAATCATTTAAAATTGGAATTTCCTAATCCAAAACTAGTGAAAAACCATTGCAGGAGAATGATTTCCATAAGAGAATGTATTTAATGATACAATGATGCTGTAAACCAATAAATGTGTGTTTATACTAGCATAAAGAAAGTCCCTAGGAAAGGGCAGTGAAGGCAGTGCAGCACTTCAGCCACGTGGATGGGATGGTGTTGGTCAGCATTGCACTCGTCTCCCATCACCCTCTGTCTGCCTCAAGCTTTGTTGATTTTTGGGTGGAACAATGCAGCATAAAAACGAAACTGTGTGATGAAACAGCCACGTACCCAGTGTGAGAGATATCTGTATTGTTACTAGTTTTGTGAACAAGAGTGTCTTTAAAGCTGTCAGGCAAATGGAGGCTGCAGTTACCCAGCTTAAATACGAGTGCAGATGTGCAAAGGTTTTTCCATCTTTAACAAATAAAATAATTTCTTGGCAAGTGGCTGGCACGTCAAACTTTGGTATGAAGAATGAGTTCTGTTCACTCTTTGTTTTTCATCCTCCTCCTCAAGCAAACAAAGCAACTGCGGGCCCCAGAGTAAAAGTGCTGGAGGAGGCAGAAATACGGTGCTCACTTGAACTCAGACTAAAGCTGAGCTTCAAAAGACCCAGAGAAACGTATGGATTGCAAACGAAAAACCTCACTGGATTTTTGTATTCAAAGGAGGTAGTGCTCCCTTTCTGGTGCCTGAAGTTCAGTTTGCAATGCTGATGGGAGCCTGAAAGTGTTCAGGGAGAATCATCCACAAGTGTGTACAGAGGTGGTTTAATCCTGGCCTCCAAACCGAGGGAAGGAAGGTTTCCTGCGACTGCTCCGCATTCAAGTGAAGATTGGGTGATTGCAGGTTCTGACATTTCCCAAGTAAGAAAACCCAATTTGCTTGGCTTCCTGCCCTTTCCTCCAGCGTAATGACTGTGTCCACAAGCACTCAATGGAGATTCCTGTTGCAGAAGACGACTTCCAGCCCAGTGGTGCTTCTTTTGAAGCACTGCAACCCCACACCCTGGGGCAGTGTGCCCAGGACCATTTTCCTGCTGTGCCCAAAGGGGGCAGCCTCACATTCTGGAATGTCTGCTGCTCTAACCACCACTGGTCTGGTGGTTGGCGACCCTGCATATAGCAGGCGGGTTGAAGCTAGATGGTCATTGTGGTCCTTTTCAACCCAGGCCTTTCTACGATTCTATGAAACTTATTTTTACAGCAAGAAACTTCTCTTTCGTTGGGAAGTGGCTTCACAGCAATAGTTTGGAGAGGAACCAGGGGGAAATAGTGCTGGGCTGGTTGGGGCTGCCCTCACCCCAGGTCCCCACCGACCATCTCCACTGCAGCACACACAGCTCTGCTCCTCCAGGGAGAACATCTGCAGCCAGTAAATCTCTCCTGCCTTGATAGTCCAATTTGCCAATGACAGAAAGATTCGCTCTTCAGCGAGAAATATATTTATGAAGTTTGAAAGGATTAGCTAGGCATCTTTTTGCAATTCAATAAGTAGTTTACGATCAATTTTCGCTAACACCAGCACTTCTGTAAGAAATTGGTCTCTGGTTTTGACAATAGTTTTGCTGGGTGTCTCTGTTGTGGAAGGAAGCCGAAGGGTCTTGCTGTCTGACAGGGATTAGAATGCTGAAAACCACCATCAGTTTCTGAAAACTGTAAGTTCTGATGAAATTCCCAAAGTAAAACAGCAATATATTAAGCCAGTGCAGATCAGGGAAGTTCCACTAGGTTTTTAGCAAAGCTAGCTTGCATTGCTTGAAGATGTCATCTTTTTTCAGTTGCCTTTGAGAATATAGCAAATGTGTTCCTGAGCTTTTTGGATCATTGGCAGAGTGTATCAGCTAGGAAGTACAAAGACGCAAAATGATCCAGAAATCTCTGTCACTCATTCTGTTGAAAAACAGTTCTCATCAACTGTGCAATGAATTGCATTTCCAAAATTCTGTTTAATTTGAATGAGGTTCACATTCTTATACTTCAGGAATGTCTGTGAAGAGTCCTCACGTCCACTATTTTTAAGAACAACATCACTGCTTGGTTGTAGTTTCAGATGGAAATCTACACTGCCAATAGGATAGCTGACATAAACTGGCCAAAGGGATGTCCTTTGGACTCAGCTCTTTGAAAGGATAGATGGTGGTAGGACAAGGGAAAATAATTTTAAGTTGAGGGAGGGAAGATTCAGGTTGGATGTCAGGGGGAAGTTCTCTCCTATGAGAGTGGTGAGGTGCTGGAACAGCTGCCCAGAGAGGCTGTGGATGCCCCGTCCATCCCTGGAGGTGTTCAAGGCCGGGTTGGATGGGGCCCTGGGACCTGTGATTCTGTGATCCCACACCATGTGACATCATATGGAACTGCAAAATGGAGGGAGTTGGCTGGAGGCAGATGCTGTCTGGGCACTGGCTGGGCATGGGTTGCTGGATGGTGAGTAATTGTGTTGGGCATCACTCATTTTGTGTATTTTTCTTGATGTCACTGTTATTTTTTTATCTTTTTTTTTCCCCTTTCTTATGAAATTGTCCTTATCCCAACCCCCAGGTTCCTGCACTTTTGAGCCCTCTCCAGCCCCATTGGCATGGGAGTGAGTGTGGCGCTGAGCTGCTGCTGGGTTAAACCACGTCAACTTTGTCTTCTGCACAGCAAGTCTGTATGAAAGGCACAACACAGGAACTCTCGAGAAGTGGCTCCTTTGAAGAGAAAAGTAGCGATATGGAAAAGAATAGAAACTGCAAATGTGGTGGAGAAAATAAACACTCTTCCTGAGCATTTTCATTCATGAGATACAGCGCAGTTCAACTTTTAAATCAAGTCAGCTCATACAATTTCATGGTGGTCAAATAGGAGAGAGGCATCTACAGCATGGAGGATTACAAGCAGGTAAGTGGCTGTCTGTCCCCTACCAGAAAGGAGAGCCTCCAGCAGAGCGCAGATTGTCCCCATGGGGAGCAGCAAGTGGCTGGGGAAGGCCTGGGGAGTTGGGCTGAGGTTTGTATGCTCCTGTTTGGGGAGCTGAGAGAGTGCAGAGCTGCTGGGATCCTTTTCTCTTTAAATGCTGCCTGGGTTTGCGTGGGGATTGTTCTCTGTCAGAAACCAAAGAGCGAGCGATTCTTGCAATGACAAGTTCAATAAATGTAAAATATTGGTTTCTTTTCTAGCCTTGAACAGATACTTAGAGACCAACTTCAGTCAAGCCAGAGTGGGAAAGCGTCTTTTCAAAGAGACAGGCGAGATTAAAGTGTATTTCCTGAATGACAAAGTTTGTGTGATAGCGGCAATTACTCTTCAGCCTAAAGGCTGGTTTGAATTTAACTTCTGTTTTTGTTATACAGAACTACAGTGCTCAGTGGGGTGAAATATGGAGAATCCTGATTTCTCCTTGGCTGAAATCTCTTTTGGTGTTCTGGCTTGGTGCATGGCTGGTGAGTTATTTACAGGCACTTGCAGATCATGGCTGCCAGCTATCCAGCTATTACGCTTGGCAAATGAGATTCATGTCTTCAGATGTCCTGCTGTCAGTGCAACACCTGCCATGCTTTCTAGAGCTCTTTTCAGACTGGAAGCCCTCACTCCATGCAGTGGGAGTCCAGGAGCAGCTCTGGCTCCACTGCATCTTCACCTGGAGTGACATGGGCACGAGTCTCTGGGTTGCTGGTTGGGAAGGCTGAAAGGTCTCCCAGTGCTGTGCCGTGCTGGGGAGCTCTCCAGCTTCATCTCAGGTGTGTTCAACCTTTACGGTAACGCTTCCTTAATTCTATTTTTTCTGGACAGATGGAATTTCTTGTCATGTTTTGTGGAAGTGTTTTTCCCACTTTGGCTTTATTATGCATTAAGATCAATGATGTATTTTGAGCCGCATGTGGTGCCTGTAATGAATTCCGCTGCCAAATTTGTGCTGTTTACCCAACGGGCACAGAAATTTGAAGGCTGTGGATGTAGACCTCATTAGCAGCAACGATTTAATTTCTTAATCCAATATGATGTCTTGATACTGTGGTGCTAAGAGCAGGAGAAGTACTTGATTAGCCCAGGAGAGAAGAGTGGGAAGATCCTGGAGCTTCCTGCTGCTGTGAGACAAGGATGCTCCTGGGCACAAACCTTGCAGGGCTGAAACAAAGCATTTGGGGTGGTTCCAGCTTTTGATTCTGATTTTTATGATGTTATTGCCCTTCTTTTTTTACATTGCCCTATTCCTTCCTCCCCTTTCAGAGCTTATTTGTTACTATGGAGACAGGAAAACAGTTCACGGGAGAGAAGCTTCACCATGTGGATGGGGCATGGTGACAAATTGGATTATATAGGGCTGAGAAATTGAGTATTGGCTAATGGATAAACAGGCATTTTACATAAGTTATATATTTTCAATATAATAGGATGTCTGTTTTAGTTGTTCTTTTGTGGATTTATTAGTGCTTGAAGAAGAGAGAAGCAAACAGCCTTAATTGAAGACCCAAGAGGATGGCAGCATTAGAAATGGCCTTTCCAAGTATTACACTTCTTGCAGAATGTAATAGTTTATGCTTCTGTGAGCTTTTATTGATGCCAGTTGTGGTTATCCTAATGCTTGTAATATATTCATTTACTGGTGTATGTGCTTGGAGAAACGTCCCTGAAATTCGAACACTTTTATGCAAGATAAACAAACAAACCGAAAGAACACAATTAAAGCCATGCTTACCAGAGCTCAGAGAAGCAGCCAGAAGGTGAGGAGCACAAGGGATCTCCTCAGGTCCCAAAGCCACACTTGGGTTGGGCAGCTGGCCTTGGTTACAGGCTTTTTTGTCCATGGATGTGATAAATGCAGGATCGGGCTCACCAGCCAAGTGCATATTCACATGTCATTATTAATCTGAATTTGGATATTAATTGCAGAGGCTGAAAGAGAGAGCTGATTATATTACTTTTTCATCCTTTTCCTCAAAGAAAATGTGTTTATTTATACCAGCTTGTTTTGTTTCCTGCTGTTCCGTAGCTCACGGCTGCTCACTGTGTTTTATTCTTTGTCTTCTCCTTGGATAATATTGTCAGTGTGATGTTGGTTTAATGATGGATAGAGGGGCAGACTTTGGAGATGCCTTTTGCATTGTTCTGTGCTTTAGTAGTATTGATCTCAGGGCACGTGATTCCTGTACTGCATTTGACCTCTTCTTGTCAAGTTATTTTTAGGAGTTGTTTATAGGATTGCTAAAGAAAGGCTAACCTGAGATCAGTGTTTTAGGATATCTGATGTTTTGCAGATTTTGGCTCCTTTAATGCAAACTCTTTGAAGTCCTAGAGGTAGCATCTTTCTGGACTGACTGGAAATATTAAACTTCCAGGAATGGCATTGCCAGACAGTTCATTTGCTGTGCAAAGTCTGTATGTACCAGCAGGGTGACTATGGGGAAAACATGGTGGCAACACAGAGAAATGATCTCTTCCAGCAGCAAAAATCTACTCTGATCACAGCACCCTCCTGACACAGCTTGGGCTCCTACCAGGCAGCACACTCCTATGTGCCATTTCATGGGCTTTGGGTCCAAATCACACAGTGGTTCAGGATGGGGATCAGGACTGCTAAAAACACAGAGAGCAGCCTGCTTTGGAAGAGACAGAGATAAGTCTGGTACATATGGACTGTGTCCTCTGCCAGCAGGCACAAGGAGAGCATTGCTTCTTGGTATAGTCAGGGTCATACAGCTTGCTTCTCACAAGCATTATTAAATATTTATTAATAAATATATCCACGACACATTAATGTAATAACCACACTGCATATGGGAAAATTCCCACATGAGACATAGGCTGTAATGAGGACACCACTGAACAGGCCCTGACCCTGCAGTGTGCTCATTTTTCCTCTGCCTTGAATAGATGGATCTTAATCTGTGGTTATCCAAGAGTTTTGGGCTTTCCTTGCTCTTGTCTCTCAGAAAGCCCAGGAGAAGGCTATGGAAGAAAAGACATTTTTCTCAGACAGGCTGCTCCCCCTGCTGCCCTGCAGCACCTCTGGGTGGGCTGTGCTGGGAGGGAAAGCTCTGCAGAATGGTGACCACTTGTAAGAAGGTTTGGTCTATGCCTGTGTTTCAGCTTAGTGCAGGAAAAGTATCAAAAAACTACTGGTGTGCGATGTCAAACACCAAAAGCAAGAGGAAATTTCAGCATGGTGCTGATAGGGAGACTTCTACAGCCACCCAACAGAGCAAATCTCTGTCAAACTAAAGAGAAAGGCCTCAAGTTGTGCCAGGGGAGGTTCAGGTTGGATGTTTAGCAGGAGAGCGGTCAGGTGCTGGGTTGGGCTGCCCAGAGAATGGTGAGCTCACTGACCCCGGAGGTGCTCAAGAAACATTTAGGTGTTGCACTGAGGGACGTGGTTTAGTGGGAAATTTTGGTGATAGCTGGATGGTTGGACTGGATGATCTTGAAGGACTTTTCCAACCTTGGTTATTTTGTGATTCTAAACATAATGGGAATTTATTACCCAGATCCCCTTTTGTTCTGGTTTTGGAAGCCTCCCAAGCTGTGGAGCATCCAAAGGATGCTGAGGGGTGCTTTAGTGCAATTCACCCCAGCTCCTGGTGGCTTTGTTCAGTCTGATGCAGCAGAGTTTACAGGGTTTCTGTGCAACTTCAGCAGAGCTTCCTGAAATCCAGAATTAGTTCTGGTGCTTTAATTAGTACAGAAATGAACTGAAGTGTTTTTAGTGCATGTCTGTTTTAAATCTTCGTACCACTGGTCAGCACAGGTGTCAGTGATTTGCCACAATACCTGCATTTAATTTCGGCAGTTGGTGAATGGCAGTGTTTGCCAAATCATAAACAAGACAGACACTGATTCCAATTATCCAGCCTTGTTTGCTGCTGTGATAAAAACTTGGGGTCAAAGTGCTGTGAATTAAATTGGAAGTAAAGCACTGTGGCTAAGTGACTTCCACTGTTCTGCCTTCTGCTGCAGCTCCACTTCAGGATTCGGGTGTTTAATGTAAGCTCTGAAAGCTAAACGATGCAAAGTGCTAATATTGCTTGGGCAGAATGGTACCAAAAATGTGAAGGCATGTTTATTCACGACTTACAGTGTCACATAATTGAAATGATTTGCAGTCACCAAATTCATACAGACTCATTCATCGTGCTTTCAGAGCGTGTTTTCTGCAGAAACAGATCAGCGCAATTTACAGCAGAGTAATGGGGACAAAGTAAAGGCAATTACTTTGTATAACCTGGCATTCATTTTTTATTAACTGGTGAGGAGTACTCAAGTTATTGTGTATCTGCAGCAGAGCAGTGGCCGTGTCGGAGCAGCACTCGGTCTGGCTGCAGAGGAATGAGGGAATGTTGCTTTATGGCACAGAGGGCTCTGGAGCCCACAGTGGGAAAAATGTCCAGGGAAACCGCAGAATCATAGAATGGTCAAGGTTGGAAGGGACCTCAAGGATCATGAATCTCTGCCCCCCCCCCGCCACATGCGGGGCCACCAACCTCCTCATTTAATGCCAGCCCAGGCTGCCCAGGGCCCCATCCAACCTGGCCTTGAACACCTCCAGGGATGGAAGGGGCATCCACAGCCTCTCTGGGCAGCTGTTCCAGCACCTCACCACTCATAGTAAAGAACTTCCCCCTGACATCTCATGTAAGTCTTCTCTCCCTCAACTTAAAACCATTTCCCCTTGTCCTGCTAACCAGTGAGAAACACAGAGCAGCACAGGTGATTTAATGAGATGGGTGGGCAGTTGGGTGGATGGATGGAAAGAAGGAAGGGAGGATAGCAGGAACGGAAAAAAAGGAGGAGGAAAGGAAGAAAAGTACTTTGGGGATTCTCTTGTAATTTATTCAGACATTGCAAAATCCAGCATTTTCACAGAAAGCAATATGGCAATGCAACGGGGAATAAGGAGCATTCTCTCTTCTCCAATTCACAAACAGCAGTGCCTTCTCTGCAGCAGCTTCTACCCATCTGCTTCCATTTCAGCATCAACCGATGGACACAGTACCAGGTAGACACACCAGGATCTCCAACTTCTTGCAAATACCTGCCTTGGCCAAAGACATTGCTCACGCTCTCAGAAGGTTGTTATAAGGCATAGCAGGCAATTTTACACTAGCATCTGAAGTGAAGATTTCCACGTCCCTTGTTAATTTATGCCTCAATCAAAGTTTTCCCCAGGCTTGAGAAAATCCATCTAGGAGAGGGGGAGAAGTGCTGCAAGGGTTTTGTGATTTTGCCTTCAAAGTACAATTACAAAGTAAGAGCTTTATTTTTGGCAATGTTCAT